ACTTGATGAGACTAGGGACCAATCTCATGTTTCATTCATTCAAACAGCGGCAGCACTAGCTGATCAGGCCACAGATGAGAACTTTGTCAAGGGATCGATCTTCCCACCCTTCACCAACATTAGAAAGATCTCTGCGCACATTGCTGCAGCCGTGGCTGCAAAAGCTTATGAACTCGGTAGGCACATCCTCTGTTTTGCTTTTGCAGACACCATTCCACATCATGGCATTCACCACCAAGTCTCATACCTGCCTGATCTGACATCATCAACTTCCCTCTGCAGGTTTGGCGACCCGTCTGCCTCCCCCCAGAGACCTGGTGAAATATGCAGAGAGCTGCATGTACACTCCTGTCTACCGTAACTACCGGTAGTGCTGCGGGGATCAATTTTGCAGTAATAAAATCTATCAACGGTCAACGCAGATGATACTCCAATGTTGTAGTTATTGGGCCTTATCGGAAGTGCTGCCTGCCGCAGCCACAGCGCTGCTGCTGCAGCAACCACTTCTACGGCTACTGTTCATGACTGGAGGATTGTTGTTTGTTGTCCCTGCTGCTGACCACAGCCATAGCTATAGCGCTGTTGAAGTAGCAGGCTGATTGTTGTTTGTTGTCCCTGCTGCTAACCACCCTTGGTGCTGGTGCTGCTGGTAGACACTGTACCTGTCTATGCATATATGATATGTTGTAACGTTATGAAGGCAAACAATCTTGTGTGCCAATGTTTGTTATTCTTTCGCTCGCTTATGATGGTTTGTTAAAGTGGCTGAAAGAGTCAGATAGCCGTGAAAACAAATCAAGATGGCCACCTTCATGAACTCACCCACCTCGTCAACAATCGTGGCCACCACCGTCTTATTCATTAGCCCCATTGGCAGCCGTGAGACTCGGATCCAGATGGGAATGAAGGAAAAATCAATCTCATCTAGGGCCAACTCGGTTAGTGTGGGATGAGGCCAGGAATTATTCCTAGCGATCAATGCTATTCAAATTAGACAATCATTCCGGTTGGGAATCGTTCTAGGTGTTCATTCCGAGATAACCGAACAGGCCATAGCGATTTCGAGCCATCGAAATTTGCCACCACATTCGACCTCCTCACCTGACACCATTGAAATTTGCCACCACATTAGACCCCCTCACCTGACACCGGATCCACCCCACAAGTCTTGCTCAATGTGTTCCGGCCTTGCCCATCTCGATCAAAGAGCAGCTTACCAACTGCCTGAGTCGGTAGATCTCCCGTCTTCTCGCCCGGATCAAGATAGATCCGGACGCTCTTCTTCTCCGCCGCCGACAGTTGCAACTTCTCCATCATCCCCTCAATGCCTTCCATCGTCGGACAACGAAGCCGAAGAAATCAAGATCAACATATGAGGATCGCACCGACTTGCACACTACAAGACTAGCAAAACGAAACTAGGCTTTATGAGGGTGTGGACTCCAGAGGGGCAAATACTAAGGGTGGACACCGCTTCGATTGTTGGTGGGATAAAAAAGGGTGTGGCTTACTAACCAGATCTGTGAGGAGATTGAACTCAAGAGGTTGGAAAAACCCTAAGGGCTCTTTCGGTTAGGGGTGGATGAGGCCAGGAAGTTTTTCAGCTAATCAAACCTTGTATAAATTAACTAGCAATTCCGGCGAGAATTTTTCCTAAGAACCATTCCTCGTGAAACGAATGGGCCTTAATGCACACCGTCGGCGAAACCTAACTCGCTCGAGTCTCCTAGGAGACCTAGGCGCCAAGACACTTTCCTCAATCGAACTTCAAAATTTGTTAGTAATTTTACACTGACTTGTAGTACGTCTCCATCCAGTCAAGTGAAGCAGTCCTGGAACGATCGGTCAGTTTTTAATATGCAGCCAGTAAAAAGTCAGCCCTCGTGCCATCCGTGAGTGCGTTGTTTCCCTGAAGTCTCCTGCGTCTGCGTGGTGGTGCATTTGCTCTTGCTGCGCCTTCCTGCACATGATTTGCTCCCGGAACACATGACGCCTCAGATAGATGCAGAGAACGATCGATCGGGGCAGCAGCACTCGCCTGGCATCAGCCAAACAGATTGCAGACTCGGCTCGGTGGTCAGCTTCAGAGTTCGACTCCTCTTAAGAAAGACCAGCAATATATAATGATTATAATCCCATTCCCACCGCGTGTTCCACGAGAGGCTCACACACGTTAACAAAAAAACCACCAAGCGATCATTCAGAAAGAAAAAAGACCAACAAATTAAACGCCTTGCTAACGACTAGTGGCTGCAGTATTGTAGTCCTGCACTTCGCAGTGGGGCAGTGGGCAGGGCACCGGCCGGCCGTGGCCTATACAGGCTGCAGCGAAAAGGCTGCTTGCTCCACCAGTAAAACAAAGGCGCCCGCTGCCGCTGTTGCTGTTGTGCGCTGTACCGACCGGACACCGGTCAGCCACATTATTATCCATGGGTTCGATCGCGTCGATATACACGTAGGCACACCCTCGCATTTCGTGGGCGGAGATGGTGTGGGGTTGAGAGCGGCCACTTTTGAGTTCTGTGGCGGGGACGGATAGAGAATGAGAGCATGTCTGTGTGACTAGATCAGGTGGTTGTACCATCTGAATTGAGTCAATGCTAACACATCTGAATTGAGTCAAGACTAACAGTGATAGGTGTAAATGGTGCAACTTATGTTGTTTGTTTGAGTTGCGCTACATGGGCCTAGCTATATATGAACAAGAGTATATCTATCCAACAACCATGTGTTTTATGCAGTTTCAACATATGAATTTTTTTACACCATAGGTTTAAGATCCAACAGCCTCCACCCTTCTTCTACCTCCAGCCTCCACAAATCACACATCACAAATCACATATCACAGATCACAATTTTTTTTTCTATAGAAGGACAAAAAGACAAAGTCAGTGACACGCGGGGCCCACGGGGTGAGGTGGCGCCTCCCCATTGGTTCGTGCGACGTGGCCTGGGGCACGACATTGAATGCCATCGCGAACGCGTCGGTCGTCGTCGTCCTCATTCCCATCCGCTCGGTCAACGAAGCGAGAAAGAGAAAGAGCGAGAGAGAGGAGGAAGGAGAGAGGGAAGGGAAAGAGAGAGGGAGAGAGATAAAAAAATCCATGTATTTTTTTGTGCTAAAACACATACATGTTGTATAGCATTTCTGTATGAACAAACATTGTGTCAGGTTTCATTGAGGTACTGCTAAATGACTGTGAGTCGTTTATTTATTGTGATCCAACGGTTACAATCACCTATTAACTCCTAAGAGGTAGGTAATAGGTGAAGTATACATTATATTTATTTGATTTTTATTTTGTAAATTAGGATAAATAAGGAAAGTTTTAGGTATATAAAATCCTTTTGTAGATTTGATTGATACACGCATGATCTTATAGATATGGTAAATATTTTTTATTTTACAAGTTTAGACTTGATATATTTTGATTACCATGTAATTTTTTATGTAATGCGTAGTAACACACTTGAATTTGTATGCAATATGATTTGCATGTGTGATAGCTTGTGATTAGGTGTTATTGCAGTACGTGATTAAGTGTACGTGACTTTTTTTTGTGTGATATATGTACGTGTACGTGATTAATTGCATTTGCGTGTGTTAGCGTGTGTATGCATTTCAGGTGAGTGCGTGGGGACGTGACTTGCATGCATGTTACTAGCTTGTATATGCGTGTTAGGTGAGTGGGTAACGTGGCACGCAGCGTCACTATTAAAATGGTAGAGTTTTGTTAGTGTTTTTAAGTAGTATTAAAATACTAACACCAGTCATATCATATGAAAATCCTCACTACTAAGAAGCATTTGATAGGAAAAAATTATACTAAATATTGAATCCTAAAACATTAGGAGAACCCCACGTCACTAGGAAAAGTTGCAGAGCAGATTGTAGTTGTGCATATTAATGTTTGTAACTTTTGAATCTGATAAAAATATATTTGTAACTTTTGGATCTGATAAAAATACACTTGTTTGTAAAAAATTTTATGTTTACTAGTAAATAAGCACCTACGACGCGCACCTGTTTACTAGACGACTTGATTCCTAAAGGAGAAATTATAATAAAATTAAAATTACAGTCAATCAGAGTTCCACTTCTATCTGTCTACTTAGACTGTCTCCAACCAGGTAGCCATTACGGCACCCAAACCCATTTTGCATCGTCCAAGAGAAAAAAACGACGTCCAACGGCGTAGGCAAATGAATGATGCATTTTGCATCGGCAGCGAGTCGAGACCCAAATATAGGTCCTCTGTCCGTCTCTCTCTCTCGTCGACCGCAAGTCCGCAACCGTTTCGCGGGAGGGGAAAGAAGAGGAACGCGCACGCACAGGCGATTGGGCCGTCGGCGTCTCGGCCTCGGCGGCATCACCGAGCTAGGCTTCGAAGGTATGACTCCAACCCCACCGTAGGCAGGAGGACGACGTGAGGCCGCCGCCGCTTGCCTGCGCTGCTGCTCGCCTGCGCTGCCGCTCGAATGCGCCTCCATTTCCTGCCTCTGCGGCTCCGTCCTCGCCGCTCGCCGCTCGGCGGCACCGCTCGCCTGCGCTGCCGGGGCCGCTCGACTGCGCCGCCGCTGGCCTACCGCTGCCGCTGTCGCTCGACTGCGCCTCCGTGGCTCCGCTCTCGCCGCTCGCCGCCACCGCATGCTTGCGCCGGCAGCCGCAGCTCCCTGGGCAGCCCGCCTTGTAGGTGATGGATTGATTTAGTGATTCACTGGTTTGGGGATTTGGGGATGGATGGGGAACCAGCTGACCCTGCTACTTGTGTCCTTGCCGGCTCTGCTGATTTGAGGATTTGGGGATGGATTGGGAACCTACTTGTGATTTAGTAGCAGATTATCCCCCTGTGAAACAGAGAACTATGTTTACATAAATTCAGTACCAAATCCCTTTCTCCTATGATGCAAAGAATCATGTACCATGCATGTATGCCTATGTGTTAAGTTCTATGCATATTTTGTGCCATGTTTAATTGTATCTTTGTTGCAATAGGAGGATGGATAACATTTTTAGTGGCTCAAGTGGGCACCCTGGCGAATCTGAAGAAATGTTTGGGGCAGATCGATGGGCTTTTGGTTATTCTACTACTTTGCAATCTCTGGATGTTCATCCAGACCCCCAGGTTTATTGCAGCCATGAATCTCATGGTTTATTCTATTTATATATCAATGAATCGATGATTAACAATTCTTCTTATGACTAGTTCAACATGCATGGCTCCTCCCAGATGTCTGGCCCACCTATGAATGGGCAACCTAGTCAGGGGTTCTCCATTGACAACAACCATGTGTCTCAGGACGCTCCAACATTGAAAGCACAGAGGCCCCAAAAAAAGGGAAAAGTGGCTAGGAGAGGAACTGCATTCACCAACGAGGAGGACATTGTGGTGTGTTCGGCATTTCTGAATATTAGCAAAGACCTTATTACTGGTAATAGTTTACAATGTTTTTTAAGAAATCTTTGACCCTTTGATGCCCAAATAACATCGTGTCTTGCAGGTGTGAATCAGACTTCGGGTGGTTATTACAAGAGGATGCATGATTATTTCAATGAGCATAAGCCTGAAGGGTCCAACCGTAGCCAGATTGCGATTCAACATAGGTGGGCATTGATCCAAAGAGCGATGAACAAGTTCTGTGGGCTCAAAGAATCTATTGATAGGCTGAATGAGAGCGGAAAAATGAGCAGGATCGGGTATACTTTCACTGATGTTGTCCTCCATCTCTCTAATTTGTATATGTTTATTTTCAATAGATCTTTGGTTCATTGCTTTTAATACTCTGTTCAATTCTTTAGCACCTCAATTCGAGAATGATTTCAGTATAAACTGTTGGCAGCATGGCTTGCTAATTTCTTGCAATAGTGCTTGCGAATTGTGATCAGTTGCTTCATCTGCTTTCTTGAGAGCCAAAACCCTGTAGGTTTTGTTTCTAAACACATGGTTCATAGTTCTGAATATCTTGTGACCTGCTTGTTTGCTTAATATCGTGTTTCTTGCATTCTTGCTATTGCCGGTATTATACCTTTATGAATATATGATAACCGAAGATCATTATACTGCATGCCCCTGTATTCTTCAGCTTTTTGGCTGTATGCAACGCCTGATCGAAGGGAGCAACTTTTCTTTGTGCTTTCCCCATCAATTTGACATCAGTTGAATTTCAGGAGGATGTGATTCTTCAAAAAAAAAAACTCAGGAGGATGTGAGCTCTGGTTTTAGTTTAAATCTGAATCTCCTTGTGATATCTTGCGTGTGATGCCATGTCTGTACCTGCATATTGTTCCCAATTTCATGTTGACATCATGTTTTTTTTTCAGTTCCTTGTGTCAGGCTTAGTTCTGTCTGACTTGAGTTACTTAACAGCTCGCTGTGCTTGCCTATTTGTTCATTCACAAATTTTTTGTCAGTTGATGAAGTTTCTAATATACTGTTGGTATCAGACAATCAGTTTCGTGGCAAGTATGGTATAAACTGTATGCAGCATTGTTTGCTAATTTAAGAACTTATTACACTTTGAGTCTGTGACATTAAGTGCACTGCATATCTATCTATCTGGTTTCGATAGCTTGCTTTGTTTTACTTTCTATATAGTAAGTGGCTTTCACCGGTGTAATCTATATTCATGTGCGCAGATAGATGATGCTGTAAAAATGTACGAGAGGACAAAATCTTTTACCATCATGCATTGCTGGAAAAAACTTCATAAGGAGGCCAAATGGAACAATAAGTTTCTTGAGCTAAACAACTCTACATCACCTGATGTAATGCCATCTCCTGCAACTCAAGGCCATGCAGAATCTGGGAATGACAATATAGACACATCACGGCCTGAGGGCAGGGATAGTGCGAAGAGGCCTAGATCAAAGAGCTTCGTAGAGACCTCATCATCCAGTACGGCTGTTGAAGTCCTGCAGCGGTTGCAGGAGAAATCAGAGAAGACCGAACAGAAGCAAGACCAACAAATGGCTGAAATCCTTAGCAGGAAGGATGAAAAAATTAAGATTCAAATGGATCTTTTCAACCTTCAGAAGAAGCATATGAAGATGAGTATGCAACAGCAAAAGAAGGAAAATAAGATTAGGGAGAAGGAATCAGAGGCTCAACTGATCACAGCTGAGGCTAGTATTATGTCGGTTGACATTGAGAAGGTCCCCGCTTATCTGAAAAACTATTATCTTGGCATGCAGCGGAAAATCATGGAGAGCAGAGGGTTCATCAGCCCCTCGAACAATGAAGACTAAGGAACGTGTGTGTTGAATATATGTTCAAAAAAGTTCACTTGAGTTGAACTTTTGTATCATGTGAATCTATTCCTGTTATTTGTCGTGAACCCTTGTACTGTGTGTGCAACTTTCGTTCAGTTGACTAGAACACCATGTATTGTTGTGAACACCTGTTATATTGAATCGTGAACTTATGTATTGTGTGCAACTATTCCTATAATCTGGCAATGTACTTTGTTTAGCCTTGTGAACTTCATGTGTGCAACTATTTGTGGCTTCTCTTTGCAATATGTTTGGTTGTGATTGGATTTGGAATCACTGTCAGGCTGGGAGGTGGTGCTGCAATATTTTCTTGGCTGGGAGGTGGTGCTGCAATAGTGCAATATTTTCTTTGCTGGGAGGTGGTGCTGCAGTATTGTCTTGGCTGGGAGGTGGCCGGCTGGGAGTTGGTGCTGCAATAGTGCAGATATTGCTTGAAAAGCCACTGGATAATGAAACTCTGTCAGTTTGTCATACAAAGAGTAAGAATTATGCAAGTGATTAAATACATACGGTAAAAATAGGGGAAAAAATGGGTAGCTTAGAAATGTAATATATTTATTATAATTAGACAACAAAATACAAAAGTTCCTGTAATTAGGATCATCAGGCAACCAGTATATATAGTTCCTACAACTATAAACTTTAGAAACACGTGAGCTGCCAACAAAATACATCAGGCAACTAAGCCTACACTTACAGACTCTATGATCAGTCTGCCAACAAAATACATCAGGAAACTGAACCTACAACTACAAACTTATGTTCCTATGATTAGGAGCAAAAGGACGAGAGCATTGGCCGTATAGCTTCCACAAATGTTCCATCAGGTCGTGCTGAAGCAATGCTGCCGTCTCTCTGTCCTGAATAATGTTTTGTGCATCAACAAGTTTCTCAACTCCCCGGATTTCTCTATCCTGGTTAATAGGTGGGTCAGCCACTCCAGGCCATTCTGATGGGTGCACAATCGGCAGCTGAACCCTGCGCTCATCTTCAACGACCATGTTGTGAAGTATGACACAAGCACGCATGATGGAATTAAGTACTTTTGGATTCCATAAATGAGCTGGCCTATGCAAGATTTTCCACTTAGCCTGTAGGACACCAAAAGCTCTCTCCACATCCTTTCTACATGACTCTTGTCGCTCTGAAAAAACTTTTTGCTTGTTGCTAACTGGCATTGGTATGCTTTTCACTAGTGTAGCCCAATCGAGATAGATGCCATCTGCTAGATAGTATCCAAGGGAATAGATGTTGTCATTGACATGGAACTCAACAGAGGGTGCCCTCCCGTTAGCCAAATCATCAAAAACATTCGAACGATGCAAAACATTAATGTCATTGTGAGACCCCGGTAAACCAAAGTAAGCATGCCAAATCCTAAGATTCTCTGTTGCCACTGCCTCAAGTATTAGAGTTGGCTTGCCTTTATGCCCTCTGTACATGCCTTGCCAACCAGTTGGGCAGCTAGACCATTCCCAGTGCATGCAATCGATGCTGCCTATCATTCCCGGGAAACCTCTAGCCAAATTGACGCTTAATATGTGCTCTATCTCCTCACTTCTAGGAGGACGAAGAAATTCTTTGCCAAACAACTTGACCACAGTCATCACAAATTCCTTCAGGATCTCGAGGGCAGTACTCTCTCCTATTTTCAAATGATCATCCAACTCATCAGCTGGGCCACCATATGCTAGCATCTTTAGAGCCACCGTGCACTTGTGAAGAGCAGAGAATCCTAATTGCCCAGCAACATCCCTCCTCTGTTGGAAAAACCTATTTTTGGCTATGACCTCATCCACTATCCGAAGGAACAATTCCCGTCTCATGCGAAACCTACAGCCAAAAATTACAATTTTTTATCAAATTAAAACAAAGTGTCATGGACATAGAAACTGGATCAAAGATTGTACCTCCTTCTGAAATGCTCCTCATTGTAAAGTGGACGTTCAATGAAGTAGTCCTGATTCAGCTGCCAGTCTGCTGCAAGACGATCACGCTTGTATGTCTTATGGTCTGGGACCGAACCTCCCCAAGGGCGTTTTTGTGGCATCTGGGTAAGGACGGCCACCGCGGCTATGATCTCATCGTCGTTGGAGTATGCTGCGGCTGTCCCGAACATTGACATTTTTACGTAACTCCAAGCCATGGCCAATACTAGCGCAGTCGAGGTCTAAAGCCAAGCCGATTTAAGAACAAATTAGCCGCAAATCATGGGATTCAGAGGGGATTGGAAAGGATTTAGAGGGATTTCATCCTCTATAAAAATCAAAATTTCTCTAATCCCCTTTAATCCTCTCCAATCCACTTGGATTTGGGCCAAAACGCACAAGCCCTAAAGGATCGAATAAGCAAATAGCCAGAAAATCAGATTACCTGCACTCTCCGATGGACTCTTGTGCGCCAACGTCGGCCTTGTGCAGACGGTTCATCGAGTGAGCCTGCGCCGGCTTCGCCGCTGCCGCCTCGAGTCCCTTCACGTAGTTGGGGCGGCAAATAATCCCGCCATCGAGGAACCCGTAGTTTCGCTCCCAGCCCGCACGCTTCGTTTCCCGCGGAAACTTTCACAGCGCGCCCGCGAATGAAACCGGCCGTGCTCGGTCGTCTGTCTTTGGGTCACCTGTTGGAACATGCAACGTTTGGGTGGCTGACCTATTTTTCCTGCAAGACCCAAAACAACAAATGCATGCCCTATTTGGGCAACGACGGTTGGAGTCAGTCTTAGGGGATGGCGGGCGCAGGCTCGCGGCTGCGGACACATCCGGCTGCCGGGCACGCCCGCGCGACGCGACGCCGGAGGGCAGGCACGTGGGGGCCCGGCGCTACATCGAGACAGAGGGAGAGGGAGAGAGGAAGGGGAGAGAGACGACATTGTGCAAAAGGGAGGGGCGCGAGGGGGCCGTGGAGGAGGAGTAGGACGGCCCGTCCACCTTGCCGCACCGAGGTCGGATGGATTGGGGAGAGGCGGGGGAGGCGACGAGAAGCGTCGGGAAGAAGAGAAGGACGGCATTTTTTTTTCTTTTTTAGTGGAGGACTGTGGTGACGTGGTCCATCTCCCCTATCGCGGTTATGCTTAGCATTGTAGGGTTAAATTTATCTCCACGTTATATATTAATTTAGTGATATTTTGTTTAATTGCTGGAAGCTCCAATACTGGTAAAAACTATATGAACTCATTGATATTTCGTTGGAAGCATCACTTGTATCCACTTACTTTATCTATTATTTTATTTATTAGAACAAATAATTATACTTGTTCAGATTTTAAAAACACCTCCACACCACTGTCTCTCAGTTCACATACAGGAAAGGAAGGACATTTGCACGACTCCACGGAAAAGGAAGGGGCCACGCCTCGGTCGCATGCAGGAAAGGAAGGATCACGCCCTAGCTTCTGTCTCTGCGAAGAGGGGATTGGACAAGATTTTTTTTTTCCTAGCTTAACAACTAATAATTAATTAATTTTTAAAAAATCAAGCACTGAGATTTATTACGTCATACCAGTAAGTAAAGAGACTATCGTAGCTCTGTCGTGTTGTGTTTGTTTGTTTGCATCAGCCATGGCTCCTTCACGTGAACCAAAAAGACACTCTCGCCCTGTTCGTTTGGCTTATAATTCGTACTTTTTCAGCGAGCGAACAATATTTTTCTTTTATAACAAATCAGCCAGCAGTATTTTTAGCCATGGTTTATCAGCCAAACGAATAGGACGTCTATCGATCAGGCGCCAACCAACCACATTTTCGCTAGGTCGATCGATCGATTCGATCATGGCGACGGTGATGTGTTGTAGTGACGGAGAGAGAATGAGAGCAAGTTTGTTTGTCTAGATCGGAGTGGTTGTACAATTTGGATTGGCCCAGCACTAGTAGGGATAGGTTTAAATGGTGATGCACCCACGCACTTGCATTTTGTGGACGGAGATGGCGCGGCGTGTCTTTTTATCTTATGAGAGCAGACACCTTTTGAGTTTTGTGGTGGTGCAGTGTAGCGACGGAGAATGAGGGTATGTTTGTTTGCCTAGATCAGAGTAGTTATGCCATCTGGATTTGGCCAGCACTAGTAGGGATAGGCGTAAACGGTTACCATTTAGATTGGGCCAGCACTAGTAGAGATAGGTGTAAATGGTGACACGGACGCACTGACATCTTCTGGGCGGAGATGGCGCGACGTGTCTTTTTTTTCCTAAGAGTGGCCACTTTTTGCGGTGGTGCGGTGCGGTGACGGAGAGCAAATGAGGGCATGTATATTTGCCTCGACCAGAATGGCTATAACATCTAGGTTGAGCCAGCACCAGTAGGGACAAGTGTAAATGGTGCAACATATATTGTTTGTTTGAGCTGCACCAGATGGCATATGTGAACAAATTTTGTGTTTGTTTGCCTGCATCAACCATGGCTCCAAACTATACACTTACAAGCAGTATCTTCACGAAGCCCAAGACACTCTATTGACCGGGCGCTAGCCAGCCACATTTTCGCTCGGTCGATCGATTCGATTACGGTGACGCATGCACGCACCCGCATCTTGTGGACAGAGATGGCGTGGCATGTCTTTTTTCATGAGCATGGCTTGAGTTTTGTGGTGATGAGGCGTAGCGTCGGAGAGAGAATGAGGGCACGTTTGTTTGCCTAAATCAGAGTAGTTATACCATCTGGATTGGTCAAGCACTTGTAGGGATAGGAGTAAATGGTGACGCATGCACACAATCACGTCTTGTGGACGGAGATGGTGCGGCGTGCTTTTTTTTATCCTGAGAGCGGACACTTTTGAGTTTTGTGGTGGTTCGATGTGGTGATGGAGAGAGAATGAGGGCATGTTTGTTTGCCTGGATCAGAGTGGTTGTACCATCTCTAGGGACTGGGCGCGAGCCAGACATATTTTCTTGCTCGGTCAATCGATCAATTTGATCATGGTGACACACACATGCACGAATTCCCATCTTGTGGACTGAGATGGCATGGCGTGTCTTTTTTTTT